GCGCCATCTTGAGCAGAAGTCCTCATGCATTCTTCGTGCAGGTTGCTGAACCGAAGGCGCCATCTTGAGCAGAAGTCCTCATGCGTATTCTTCATACAAGTTGCTGACCAGAAGAATCTCTGAACTTTTTGAACCCTTGGTAGTTTCATCCTCTGCAGATGGCGTTCTGACTCTGAGCAGGCCACTCAGCCTTTCTGGCTGCAGTTTTCTGAAACAAAGTGAGGTGGTTGGGCTGAGTCCTTGTTGGCTCTCAGAGTCTATAAATCAAAAAAGATAGAAAATTATCAGGCAGAGGAAGTTCTCTGCCGAGTCTAAACTTCAAAATTCGGGTTCTCCAAGATGAAGAGATAAAAGCTAAGATAGTATGGAAGCTAAATTCTGATGATTGCAAAGGAATTCTTGGATATTAGAATGGGGCAATGCTTCTAGAAGAATCAAGAGGGACCTTTAAGAATAAATAAAATGCAGTCTTACATTAAACATCAGGTGATCACCGGAAGGAGTTTGTGCTCCCAGAGTCCAAGTTAAGAATGTATATTATTTCAGAAAGAGTTTAAATACATCTATGTATTAGTTGTTGGAAGAAATGGGGGTTTTCCTCATGTGGAAAACAGTATTTTACTACCTGTAACAGACTTCTAGATGCCAAGTAGTAGGGCACAGTCCTGGGCATGGAGGGCAGCGAAATGAATTTGACTGAATACAATACGTTAGCGATTATTTTAAATTATTTTTTAAAGCTTTTTTAGTTTTAGAAGTATTAAAATATTTTTATCTAAAATGAAATTATATATTATCTATTCATGTAGGAGATGTCAATTTTGGCCATAATTTACAGAACTTGGACCCTTTTTTACAGAATTTTTCCTTCTTTTGTATTTCATTGTTATGTGTATGTTATAGTATGAACTTCCTGCATGTAGCATTTTATAAGAGGTTAAATTTCAGGAAGAATATATAATTTATAGGCCTAGAGATTTTGAAGAATGTGTAACTAACTGTAAACATTGTGTGCCTTAGTGACACGGTAACGGACTATATATGAGTAACATTTCCTAAGGTCATCTTTAGCTGAAATTTCACTTACCTTTTTGGTAAATCTGTCTCATATATTAAGTATTTCACTTAATATAATTTGCTACTAGCACAAGGGTCTGAGTCGGAATGCATTTTCTCAGTTCCTTTATTGTGTTACTATTAAGTGCTGTAAGTTGGTTTTTGTTGTTACTAACTTTAAAAGTTATACACACTTGATATAAAAAGATAATCAAGCATTATAGAATTGCATGAAGTAAACAGTGGAAGTCCCCCCCCCCCCCCCGCTCTTCTTCTCCACCCAGTCCAACCTCTGTTAACCCTTTGGGACGTGGAAGCAGTGGTGTTTCTGGGAGCTTTCTACCACGTGATTTCATGCAGTAAATGTGATTTCAGGTTCTGAGCAACATTCATACCGTCAGAGCCACGTGGCAGCCTAGAAAGCCCCAGACGTGGACCTTTTCTCCCCAGGTAAGCATCTGCTGAGCGAACAGAGTGCACAAGGAACTTCTTTTGTCTATTAAGAATTACCCAATTAATTTCTAAGACAAGGCTATCAAAGTGTATTCCTGAAATAATATATTTATATTTAGTACAGTAACTTTGGGGCCAGATTTGAATCTTTAGATTCTTTAAGGTTTTTGGGGAAATTTGACAAAAATTACCTAGATTTCTGACTCACTAAAGTTATAATTCCTATGAGTCATCTCATTCAGTGAACTTCAAGGGTTAATTCTTGAAAATGTCCATTTGGTGAGAAATGAAAACAAAAAGATAAAATCAGTAAGTGGAGTGTTTTTTCAAAAATGACATCTTCCAATTGTGCTAATCAGAGCTGTGCTTTCTTTAGACAAAATTAAGTGTGATGCCTAGGGGGCCTGGTACTTTAGACCCGGGCACTGTCCAGGCTGGAATGTGTTAGGTGGTTCCACACCACCGAGTCAGCGTCACGTAGATGCCAGGTAGAGAGGAAGGTGTCATCATGGGCTTCTAGTATCGCTCGTCTGCTGCTTGTCTGACTTTACTCTGCTCCCACAACTAACTCCCTTAATTAACCTTCCTCGTATTCAACTGTGTGGGTCATAACAAACTATGGATGATATTGCAAAGAATGGGAATTCCGGAATACTTAATTGTGCTCACGAGGAACCTGTACATGGACCAAGAAGCAGTCGCTGGAACAGAACAAGGGGATACTGCATGGTTTAAAATAGGAAAAGGCGTGTGTCACGGTTGTGTCCTTTCAACACACTTATTCAATCTGTACACTGAGCAGATAGTCTGAGGAGCTGAACTATATAAAGAACAACACCGCATTGGGATTGGAGGAAGACTCATTAACAACCTGCAATATGCAGATAACACAACCTTGCTTGTTGAAAGTAAAGAGGACTTGAAGCACTTACTGATAAAGATCAAAGACCACAGCCTTCATTATGGATTATATCTCAACATAAAACAAAAATCCTCACAGTGGGACCAATAAGCAACATCATGATAAACAGAGACAAGATTGAAGTTGTCAAAGATTTCATCTTACTTGGATCCACAATCAACGCCCATGGAAGCAGCAGTCAAGAAATCAAATGATGCATTGCATTGGCAAATCTGCTGCAAGAGACCACTTTAAAGTGTTAGAAAGCAAAGATGTCACTTTAAGGACTAAGGTGCACCTGACCCAAGCCATGGTGTTTTCAATCACCTTATATGCATGCAAAAGCTGGACAATGAATAAGGAAGACTGAAACAGAATTGATGCCTTTGAATTACAGTGTTGGCGAAGAATATTAAACATATCATGGTTAGCTGCCAAAAGAATGAACGAATCTGTCTTGGAAGAAGTACAACCAGAATGCTCCTTAGAAGCGAGGGTGGTGAGACTTCGTCTCGTGTACTTGGACATATTATCAGGAGGGATCAATCCCTGGAGAAGGACATGCTTGGTAAAGTAGTGGGTCAGCCGGAAAGAGGAAGACCCTCGATGAGACGGATTGACACAGTAGCTGCAACAATGGGCTCAAGCATAGCAGTGACTGTGAGGATGGCGCAGGACCGGGCCATGTTTTGTTCTGTCGTACATAATAGGGTCGCTATGAGTTGGAACCAACTGGAAAGTACCAAACAACATCTTATTGCATCACAAGATATTAAAGCAAGATGGAGGTTCAGGGAGAGGTCCCAGCCACCTGAGTGTGCTGCCTGGACCCACACTTGTGTATAGCACAGCTCCTAAGAGTTTGTTTTGGTCTTCTAAGCACCCTCCGTCCAGTGCGAAACACTGTTTCTTTAGGCACAAGGCTTCACAGTTCTGATATTGCATCTCTGTATGGGTGAAGTGTTTGGGGTAGAATTTTCTAAAGTTTCCCAGGATATAGAGAGCAACTGTTGGGGAGAGAGATAGTAAATATGGGTTACTTTGTTGGATGGAATTGAGCACCTGCTATGTGCGAGGCCTTCTTCCTAGGTATTGTGGGAGCTTCCGTGTCCATAGGGAGGAAACGTGCATGTGTGATAACAATAGCTCCTGTCTGCGGAGCAGCAGCCACATGCCAGGCACTCTGCTAGGCCCTCTGAATGTTATCTCACTGGGCCCTTAGAGCAGCCCTTTGGAATGGGTAACTTGAGAGCTATCACTCAGGACAGATTTTATGGCTGTGGGAGCTCGGAGAAGAGTGAAGTTAATTCTAGTCCTTAGGCTCAGGGACAACTGTGTGGAAGAGACCCTGAACTTTGAAGGATGGGCAGAGTGTTGCAGGCAAGAAAGGTGGGTACAGCTGTCCAGGGCGAGGGGCAGGAGTAGGAAAACTTAGCAGGCATGCTTAAGGAAAGCTGAGCATGTGTTTGTATTCAGTCTTTTAGTTCTGTTCAGAAAGAAAAATTGTTAAGATAAATATCTTATTATGAGCAAAAGGTGGCACAGTGGTTGAGCATTTGGCTGCTAACCGAAAGGAGAAAGACGTGGCAGCCTGCTTCTGTAAAGATTACAGACTTGGAACAACAATGAAACTGTGAACCATCTCATAACATGGATGAAACTGGAGGACATTATGCTGAGTGAAATAAGTCAATCACGAAAGGACAAATATTGTATGAGACCTCTTGTAAAAACCCATGAAAAAGTTCACACACAAAATGTAACAATCTTTGTTGGTTACCGGGGATGGGAGGAGTGGGGGGGAAATAATAGATAATAGATAAGTGGTATCTTGGGTTAAGGGTGAGACAGTACACAATACAGGGGAAACTAGCACAACCTGTACAAGGAAAGGTCATGGACACATCCAAACTCCCTGAGGGACTGAATTGCTGGGCGGAGGGCTGTGGGGACCATGGTCTCGGGGAACATCTAGCTCAATTGGCATGACACAGCTTATAAAGACAATGCTCTACATTCTACCTTGGTGAGTAGTGTCTGGGGTCTTAAAAGCCTGTGAGCGGCCATCTAAGATACTCCACTGGTCTCATCCCTTCGGGAGCAAGGGAGAATGAAGAGAACAGGATGCAAGGAAAAGATTAGTGCGAAGGACTAATTGTCCACAGCTACCAAGGCCTCCACCGGACTGAGTCCAGTACAGCTAGATGGTGTCCGGCTACCACCACTGACTGCTCTGACCAGGATCACAACAGAGGGTTCTGGACAGAGCTGGAGAAGGATGTACAGCATAATTCTAACTCACAAAAAAAAGACCATATTTACTGGCCTAAAGGAGACTGGAGAAACCCCGAGCGTATGGCCCCCAGACACCCTTTTAGCTCAGTGGTGAGGTTACCTCCGAGGTTCGCGGTTCAGCCTGGGAGTGGACAGCCCTGTAAAACCAAATGAGACTAATGAGGTACTGGAGTCCAGTGACAAGGGCCAGAAGGCAGAAGGGGACAAGGAAGCTGGTGATAGGGAACCCAAGTTTGAGTAAGGATATTGTTGATGTGTTGTGAGATTGTTAACCATTGTCATAGGGCAACATTGGTAGTAACTGTTAAATGAGAAACTATTTTGTTCTGTAAGCCTTTATCTTAAGTGAGAATAGCAGCACAATTCGGAAAAAAAGAAAAAAAAAAAGATTACAGACTTGGAGGCCCTATGGGGCGGTTCTACTCTGTCCTATAGGGTCACTGTGAGTTGGAATTGACCCAACGGCAACAGGTTCATTATGAATGAAAACAATTTTTTGTAATACCTCTGGGGCCCTAGGTATGGTATTTGTTTTACAGTAACTTCTACTCTAACCAAAGAGTAAGTGAAGGTAATGGTATTTCCCTTAACAGAAAAGTTACATTTTTAATTTAAATTCATTGGTGTAGATGAATCTGCAATTCTCAATCGATCTACTTTTTGTTTCCCTTAAAAGACCTTTATTATGATGCAGAAGGCATATAGTACTTACAGATGGATAGGATTGAAACCCTCTTCCTTTTTTTAATTTTTATTGGTAACTTTAGTTTCTTTATTGTTTCAGGTCACTGGCATCTTGCCATGCTTGCTTGATGGTGATTGTTTTATCAGGTCCAATTCCTCATCTCCAGACCTTGGGATATTATTTGAACTTGGAATTTCTTATATTCGCAATGTACGTCACTTGCTTTCTAATGTATCGGTTAAAAGGGAAGCTTTTTTTGTTCTAAATAGACCTGTATTTACCAGTAAAACAATTGCAGTTTTTATGTGTAATAGAATTTTAATCCCGTGAGGAACGAGAACGGGAGTGATTTCTAATTTTATATGTAGTGCTGCTTTTTCAGTGACATTTAAAATAAAGGTGTGTGTTGACATTTATTGCTTCGTAACCGCCAGGGCTTTTATAGAATGAAGATGGGGAAGGATGGACTTCACAGAAGGTGCTAAAGATGCCCAGTGGCATTTCAGCGCAGTGTTTACCTCTTCTCAGAGGGTCAGAGAACACGTAACCTTGTAGCTGAGAGTTCTAATTAAGGGACCTGGTAGAGTGGTGATTTTTATGGAGGGAACCCCAGAAACCTGGGTTAACCGATGTCGTATAAACTACTGGGCCAGAGGGTGCAGGTCTGTAGTAGTGATTGAACGGGTCCACATTCTGCTAACAGCTTCGTAGCTGTAGTAGATACACTCAGCCTCATGGTGACCCAGAGAGCCAACAGTTATATAGAGTGGGGTTACACCATCTTTTTGTCTCTTCTAGGTAAATTCGTCCCTGTGTGTTAGGGGCGGTGGGCCAGGGGACAGGAGCAGGCCCCAAGCGAGCCATGCTGGCCTCTGGTAGTTGGTAGTGGGGGTAAAGTTCCAAGCAAACAGACCCTGACTGATTTAATTTCCACGTTCAATCTCAGTGAAACAGAGCTTCATAATCCTATGAAGTGTTGGTATGACTGATGTGAGATCATTCCGTGAGGTGTTTATATCACTCAAGAGATGCTGGCAGCAGTTGCCAGATCATAAGGGTTAAGGAATTTTCAAAAGAAACTTTGACAAAATATGATTTTTCATTTTACATACTGCCTTTAACATCTGACCTCCAAGTAAATGGGACTCCACTGTGTTTCTTTTTATTTTCGTGCGAAGAATGTTCCCGTTTTAAAGGTGAATACTGGTCTTCTTCCTTTAAAAGGATTTGGTATATCCTTACAGTGTTGACTGGCTCAGACGTTAAGTTTCATGTTCCCGTTTTATTTCCTAGTCCACTGGAGAAAGAGGGGAGCTGAGTTGTGGCTGGGCGTTTCTGAAGCTTTTTGATACCAGTGGAATTCCTATTCCAACAAGGCAAGTTGGCTGTGTGTTCCTTCCAAAACAGTTGTTTTGTACAATTTTTTTTTTTTAGAATTTAGATACCTCAGGTTTGTAGAGTATATGTTCTATTAGCATTTCAACAACTTTTGGGGAGAGAGCTTTTAACAAGTTGATTTTAATGCTCAAGGTAGCATATGAAAATGGTACGCACAGTCTCATCCTAGGGAGGAAGAAATGACCCCACAGAGTAGGTATCTCACAAGATGTTTCACTGTCTGTCTGCCGAGAGGACCCTCTCAGTAATTTCTTATGGCGTTAACACGTTTCACTGTCCTGAAAGCAGCGCTTGATTCTCTCCACAGAGCGGTCAGGCTCTGAATGAGGTTCCGGGACCTTCCTTATGCAGGTAGTGCATTGAGCTCATAGTGGCAGCCACCGTAAACAAAGGTGAAATCTAAGACCAAAAAAGCAGACTGGTACCGAATATTTGCAAATATATGTAACAGTCAGATTATCATCCCAAACATAAAAAGAGCTCTTCAAAAGTTAATAAGAAAAAGACAATGCAAATTTAACAACGGGGGAAAAGAATCTAAGTTTAAGATATAAAGAAGAAATTCATGGAAAGACACAGATAGGTAGTCAGTGGGATGGTGATGAGGATCCCGGTTTGGAATCAGGGAAACCAGGAGTCTGGCCTCAGCTCTGTCTGTGTAACGTGGGCAGGCTCCTTCTCCAGGCCTCAGTTTCCCCCATCTTTAAGGTCGTTCCTACCCCAGATATTGTGAGGATTAATTCAGATGATGCTCCCCTTGGTAGCTGTACTGATGCCACAGTGGGGGTGGGCAGCAGTGAGAGCTCTCACTGCCCCCCGACCACATCCCCCCATGGTTGGGGAGGGGCCTCAATGCTGAGGGGGAGGGGTTCATAGAAGTCCAGGCGTCTTAATGGTTGCTTTTTTGTTTTTGGTATATAATGTTCAGGGTTTTTAGTTGTACTTAGGAGGAGAAATAAGGAAAAGTATGTCTGTTCCATCTTTCTGAAAGAAGTCACAGCTGTTTATTTGAATGATGTAGAGCCCTGTGTATTAATACAGAAAGATTCCAGTGTATATTATTATATGAAAAAAGCAAGTTGCAGAATAGTGTGTGTACTGTGACCCCACTTTTGCTAATTAAAAACTGTATTTCTGTGCTTCTGTGGGGTTGGGTCTATTGTAAACTCTTCCCAGAGGTTGCCTTCCACTGCTCAGGTAGCAGAGGTGGGGGGGCGGGGTGCAGCGGGATTAAAGGAGCCTGCCGTCTGCTGCTCTCTCCACTTAGATATTACGGAACTGAAACAAAAGCGTGTGTTAGTTTAGAAGTTTACTTTGTGTATGTAATTGTTTGTGTTTGCATAGAAAGAGATACGACAGAACACGTACAAACTGGGGAGGGGGAGGAATAGGGAGGGATTTTCACTTTTTACTCATCGTTTCTATGCCATTTAAAGTTTTTACAGCTGGCTACATGTTAGTTTTATAATTTAAAAATAGTATTAGTTCATAATGACTTTATTTTAAGAGTTGATTTAAAACATTTGAAAAATACATTGAAAAACACAAGTCATTAACTCGTCATTAAAGTCAAAACATTTAAATGACATTAACTTTCTCATCTTATGGAAAAACCTGTTTTCTACAGTTCATAGTTAGAATGTTTATAATAAAAGTAGCAAATGTTTATTTACTGAGGTGATACCCCAAGGAGGGACCAACGACTATCATTCTCATTTGCCAATGAGACATAAATGCAATGTCTACGAATGTATTTGTGCTAGAAAATATTTCCCTGCTGACTCCAGTGTCTGCACAGTGGCCCTACCATGAGTCTGTCATGGTCTGTCACGGTCTGTCATGCTTTCGTAGGACCTACGAGCTCTTCTTGAACGGTGGCACCCCTTATGAAAAAGGTGTTGAAGTGGACCCTTCAGTATCCAGAAGAGGTACAGCTCATGTGTTACCTTCCTTCCCTTAACGAGTAAACAAACAGAAGATTCTTCAGAGAAGGTAGCTCTGTTCTCATAAGGAAATATTTTTCACTTGAGTTCATATTTAAAAAATACATCATAATATTATAATCTTACTTTTCCCTAAGCGCCGAGTTTCTTGGAAGCGCAGATGAGACTCTTAACGCAGGCAGGCACGAAGAGTGAGGACCCGGCCTTAGCGCCTCTTTGTTGAACATCAGGACCACCGCAGGATAATACAACAGGCGAATTCAGAGATTGCCTGTTGTCGGGTCAAGGGTGTAGACATTTGGAATTGAGATCTATGTGCCAAGTTGCCCTCTAAAAATACTGAGCATCTTTTACTATGTCCATTGGTCAGGCACGTGCTGGGTAACGGGAGAATGGAGAGTGAGACAGACGCGGCCTTGCCTCGTGAAGCCGAGCCTGACAGAATCGTGGCTCCGTTTCTCCTCTCACGTCTCTGTCTCCTTATGTTATGATTTAGAACACACACCGCTGCTTCTGCCCCAGCAGCGCCGTCTGGATCCAGACGTGCTTTTTAAAGTCTCTCTTTCTTTGCTCTGTAATCTGGCAGCGGTGATACTGTCCAAGCTCGTGAGGTAGTGGTGACTCGGGGCCGGTCAGGGAGGTGGATGGGCGTTAACATGACATGTTTTATTCAGTTCGTCTGGGGTGTGGGTGACTCCTTCCTTTCGTGCGGTTCAGCTCCACGGTTGATGTATTTTGATAAAATGTTTAATTTTATTACACTCACTGTCCCAAGCACTGAAAGTCTCGAGTTTTGTTATTGTTTTAAAGCGCACGGCGGCGTTTTCTATCAGATGATGACAATGAGAAGGCGGCCTCAACTTCTGGTAAAACTGAGATCTGTGAGCAGAGGCTGGAGAAGCACGCTGAGGTGGGTACCTGCTCTGGCCTGTCCAGTGAACTCTGGATCGTCCAGCCTT